ATAATCACAAGATTCAACAAAATAAAATAGTCATCTCTTTCCTTGTATTCTTCTGAATGTTTTAATAAATTGTAGGGCTGGCACCCCACCCCTTCCCTGTGAATGGGACTTTGCCATTAAAAAAAAAAGAAATTTTTTTTGAAATTTGCCTTTTTTTTCCCTCCTTCCTCCATTAGATATATCAATTGATGTTATTTTGTATATACAAGCTATCATCCATCATTAAAGAAATTTTCAATAGTTATTTTTATTAATTAGTTACTAATAGTTAATTAGTGCTCTAATTACTTAATCTTAGATATTAGTAAAGGAGAATGGAGGGAAAAAAAGGCAAAATTATTTTTTCTATTCAAAATCATAAGAATCATAGCAAACATTATGTTAAAAGAGATGACTAGTCTGTTTTGTTAAATCTTGTGATCATTAGTGTAGTTTTGTTGCTTATTTGTGATATTTAATTTATTAATTGTGAACTTTTTGAGTGGTAAAATATGTGTATTAATTAACTTTAACTTTTAATTATTTTTATTCTTTTACTAATACAACTTATATACATGTATAAGGAGTATTTATGGAACAAAAGTTTCATCTCTCTCCTTAAAGTACTTTTTTAATGTTACTTTTTCTAATTGGACTAATTTTGTTATCAAAACCTTAACCTCAGGAGAGGTTTGTATAATTTTACAAATTTCAGGGGAGGCTAGTGAAATTATTAGAAACCTCAGGTGAGGTTTCTGAAATTATCCCAAATTTTAGAGCGAAAAAAATGCCAACATCACAATCAAAGTATTATTCTTAAATATTTTTAGTAAAACCAAAAAAGATTTTATAGTACATCTTAATAAATGAGTCTAATATCTGATGAAAACTGTACATATCATATTTCTTATTTTTTTTTATTTCACAGATCCATATATCGGAGTGCTGTGATATTGTCCGCGTTGACAACACGGGCAAAGCAGAGGTGAAATTCAGGGAATGCATGGCAGATGAGATTATTGCCTAAAGCTGATACGAGTCTTAAGATGGAAATCAAATTTTGGTTCTTTCTTCTCTACTAGAAAGTTGTACAATATCGCGGAAATAGAAATATAGACTACTGAAATTTTTATACACAATTGCTGTAGAAAAGTCTATCTTTTGTAACATGTATTGTTAATAGACAAGAATAACTATTTCCTTGTACAAATGCAAAAAAAAAAAAAAAAATTTTTTTGAATGAATAAAATGTTAGTCACAAAATGCCCCTAAGATTTTACATTTTCTATTTTGCACTCTTTAGTTTGTTATTGGTTTAACATGCCCCGTAAGATTCTAATATGCAATCTGTGGAGGCCAATTGTGGATTTGTCCACCTCGGCAACCCCTCACCTCGGCAACCGTCTTGGGGAGCAGGACGCCTGGACTCCCTGGTGGTCAAGAGGGTGTTGGGATGGTACCGGGAGGGGCCTCCCCAGGATTCGAACCCTTGACCTTAAAGGCCTTTGGATTGAATGCCTGGTACCCATTGGGCTACTTTTTGTGGAGGCCAATTGTGAATTTGTCCACCTCGGCAACCCCTCACCTCGGCAACCGTCTTGGGGAGCAGGACGCCTGGACTCCCTGGTGGTCAAGAGGGTGTTGGGATGGTACCGGGAGGGGCCTCCCCAGGATTCGAACTCTTGACCTTAAAGGTCTTTGGATTGAATGCCTGGGTTCGAATCCAAAGACCTTTAAGGTCAAGGGTTCGAATCCTGGGGAGGCCCCTCCCGGTACCATCCCAACACCCTCTTGACCACCAGGGAGTCCAGGCGTCCTGCTCCCCAAGACGGTTGCCGAGGTGAGGGGTTGCCGAGGTGGACAAATCCACAATTGGCCTCCACAAAAAGGCCCCTCTTGACCACCAGGGAGTCCAGGCGTCCTGCTCCCCAAGACGGTTGCCGAGGTGAGGGGTTGCCGAGGTGGACAAATCCACAATTGGCCTCCACACAATCCACTCAACTAAACGACTTCAAATTGAATCCAGTTTTGGCATGTGAAATTAAACATTCTGCAAAATAAGATTAACTTTGCACTCAATGAAATCAAAGAAACTAGATTTTAACCTATTCATTAAATCACAAATACATATTTATTCAACAAAAGGGTACACAACATTTGCCCAAAATTTTCTTAATATTGGGAGCTTTAGGTTGTAGATAATTTAGTTTTGTTTTTTGTTTTTGTTATAGATAATCTTATTAGATCATATCGACACAAGTGTTGGTGGATGCTCATTAGTCTACTCATCAATGGCTGGATGAAGGGCCACTAAACACCATGCCCTTGTATCCAATTTTCACAAAGAAAAGAATGTATTCTTTTCACTGAAGGGTCACCGCACACCATGCCACTGTATCTAATTTTGACCTAGAAAATAGATGTATTCTTTTCTTTTCTCAAGGCTATCAAGGCTGAAGTCATACAATCTATTTCCATGTTTCCAGTTGTCAAGGTTGATCAATTAAGTTGAACAATCAATTTCCATCAAGATATTTAAGTCAAACTACCAAGTTGTCAATCCGTTTCCGTGAACACATTTCTCAATCACTTTTTTACCTCATATATATCAAATCGATATAGTATATTTTCTACAAAAACTCTGAAAAATTGCAATCCAAACACAACCTAAAATTTTGACAAGACACAAAGGTTCGTGAGGAAGGCGTGGCTATACAAAATTCATAGAAAGCTTGTAGACGTATTTAATTGTTGTTTCTGCATCAAGATTCTCCACAGAACTCGACAAGTGGAACAAGGGACCTCAAGGTTTGAACCTAACCATATACCCTCCATAATGTACCTCGAGAAGCCGTTTAGAATTCTTAATTAGGGTAGCTATTATAGTTTTGTTTAGAATTTCTATTTGTTTTCATTTATTTTCTAGTCATATTAGTGTTGTGCATTAAGTTCTTAACCATATTGATAGGGTATTAAGCTGGAGACTCTCTTTTTTTGTCGTAACGATAATATTTTTATAACTTAATCCGTCCTATTTTACAGAAAAAGGGAGCCTAAAGAGGTTAGGTTAGCAGGTATATTGATTAAACCAAAATGGATATTCTGACATCTTCTTTCAATTTTTTTTCACTTTAAATGAGGTTTGAACCCTGACCTTGAGTAGTGTTAAGCTGGAGACTCCAGCACCAGGGAAGTAAAGTCAATTCAAGAGTGAAGGGTACCAGCTGCCAAATCAGCACCGACTCCCATAGGTAAAGATTGCTTGCGTCAATTGGTCGAGCTAGTTGGCCACTAACTGTGAAGTGTTAGGGATTCAAGTGCGGAACACACAATTATTAAGATATCAAGTACATAACAATTTAATGACAAATAAGACATAAACATAAAAGATAAACGACACATAAAATTTAATGTGGTTCGACTCCATCATTGAGCCTACGTCCATGGAGAGAAACTCGTTATTTATTATGAGAGGAAAACCCTACTCAAGAATATAATTTGAACCCAAATCCAACCCTTGTATACCATCTCTCATCTTCCAAAAACCCCCTCTCACCTCATTTATAAGGCTATATGTCGCCTTTTATGTGCTCTTGTGTGTCCCTTATGTAATATGCCAACCCTTTTATTTATAGAAAATATTATTTGATCAAAACTCAAATAACAACAGGAAACTAGTACTAATGCTTAGACTTGTACAGAATAGAAAATAACTTCTAAATTCTAAACAAAATAGGAAATTCCTTGGTTACTACTTCAAATAACTAAAACTAATTAAGAAACTAGTTACTTTCACATAAAATAAGAAACCTGTCTATAAGAGATTAAGCCAATTTCCTAACATGAAGGTGTTGCCAGCTCTGATGGTCCATCCTCTTTGGTTCAAATCGAACCCCAGGCCAGCCCACAACGGTTAGCTACACGAGTTTCATGGCAATTGAAGCCATGATGACTAGTCCATTCATTCTTAAGTATCTTGCATGCCTTTCTTCCCCGTGTCTTCTACGTCATTTCCTTGTAGTTGTTTGTCGGGGTTACCTTGAAGTTGAAGCCATGCACAAATTACAATATTGACAAATCAAAGGGTCTTTTTGGATGGTGTAGTTTTGGATATTTATATAAAATTTTATTATAGTTTATTGTAAAAGTTGTAAAAAAACCTTTTATTTATTTGAGGTTTTGAAGATTTTTTTTTTCTTTTTTTCCCTTCTTTCCGCTCTTCTTCTTTCTCCCCACACCCCTAACATTGGCAACCACTCCACTCACCCCTCTTGCTTTTTGTGTTTTTTTTATGGCTAAATAGCATCTCAAAAGTTAATATATTTGCAGCTAAAGTTGATCAAAATTCAAGTGTGTATCTAAACAGTGACCATTTTAATTATGTCGATCTCTTTATGTGGATTCCAGTTACTTCACATATGTTATATAATCACATGCTGTTGCTTAGGAATTTTGTTCGAGCTATTACATGTGTCATATTAGCACCTCTTAGTTGTTCCATAAGTATTTTTAGAAGACGTAATTTAAACATTTTCGGTGAAACTCTGGACAAAAAGAATATTTAACCAATTTAGCTATCAATGCAAGTCAAAAATTTGCTATTTCTGTATAGCTTGCACCTTTCCTTGGGATCTAATAAAACAATATTTAATTGTATTGGAAGAATTGATAGATCCGTTCATTCCGCAATTGGTCAGTGACTTTGTATAGTATTATAGTTGCATGATACGTCTAATTCAAGAATAAGGAATAATGTTTTGAAAGTGAAATAGAAATATAATTACCATAACAACAAAGAAAAATCTAATTAATCCTTCTTCCTTTTTGTTACAAATGTAAAAACCACTTTATCATTCTTTCACTCAAAAGGGATTGAGTTAGCCAACTGAAGACTATTAATGAGGCTTAGTAAACCAACCTTAAATACTAGTACAATCTATTGGAACAATGCATCACATTCCATAGTTCACATGTTCCTCTTTTGGTTTGTGTATTCTAGGACAAAAATTCAATAGCTCTAAATGGCGTCAACAGCAGGGGCCAACGTTTCAGAGTTCAAAGAAAAAGTAAATTTGTGGTCAGACAATTTTGTAGTCAGAAACCTCTGCAGAGTATTTGTGATTTCAGGTCTAATAATTTTTGCCATTCTTGTTTTGTTTTTCAATGATCCAACATGTAAGGCTTCAGGGTTTTTGTCAACCTGGAAAATAAGCCCTTCATCTTCACAACCTGCATCTACTGTTGATGATGTTCCCACAAATGTTAGTCACCTAGCTTTTGGTCTCCAAGGCTCTGAGAAAACATACCACTTCAGAAAGGCTTACTTGGAGGCTTGGTGGAGACCAAACATAACAAGGGGATACGTTTACATTGATAGAGAACCTACAGGAGATCTTCTCCCATGGTCTCCAAAGTCTCCTCAGTATCGAATGAATGATGATCTCAGCAAATTGATTCAAGAAATCAGGCCGAGAAGTGCTCTCATGCCTCGAATGGTACATGGGATATTGGAATTGTTTCGTGAGGAACATGAAGGCATAAGGTGGATAATCATGGGCGATGATGATACAATGTTTTTTGTAGATAATCTGGTTCATGTTCTTTCGAAGTATGATCATACAAAGTACTACTACATTGGGTATCCATCTGAATTTGTTTTGTCCAATTATTGGTTCAATTTTAACCAGGCATTTGGTGGAGGTGGGATTATTCTTAGTTACCCTTTGGCAAAAGCACTTGTAAGAGATATGGATCGCTGCCTCAGGAAATATTCAAACCTTTCGGCTGATCTAATGACTATGGCCTGTTTAGCTGATATTGGAGCTAATTTAACACCCCATAAAGGTGTTCATCAGGTAAATTTTCTTTCATAAGCATTCCTCCAATTTTTTATTACAGCTAATTTCATGGATATATACATCTTTCGTTTTGCTATTTGCATTTTTTTTATCAGCTGCACTTATCTTTTATTCTAATCTTGATTTTTTTAATCAAATGCCAATAAACGTATAATTTATAACATTCACAGTAATAATTATTCATTGCAGAACGACTTAAGAGGTGATTATTCAGGTTTCTTATCATCCCATCCCAAAGAGCTCGTCTTGTCTATACACCACTGGGATGTGTTAGATCCAATATTCCCTAAAAAAGATAGATTTCAATCAGCACAGCACCTCATGAAAGCAGGAAATGTCGATCAATCACGCCTGTTTCAGCAAACAATTTGCCACCATAGACCAACCAACTGGACATTTTCCGTTTCCTGGGGATATTCTGCCCATATTTATGAAAAAGTGATGGCCAGAAGTTGGCTGATGACCCCAATTGAAACGTTCCAGGGATGGTCAAGGAGCAACAAGCCACCACTTTTCATGTTTAACACCAGACGCCCGTTTGGTGATCCTTGTGAAGCTCCTCACGTCTTTTTCTTCGAGTCAATAAAGGAAACATCAAACAACGAAATTCTTACCATCTATGCAAGATCAGCACCTCGAAATTTACCGGCTTGTCCTGCAAGTGGTAACCATTCTGCTGAATTTGTCTCACAGGTTCACGTTTTCTCACCAGCAACCAAGCGGCCTGAGGTAAGTTAAAAAGTTAAAACAATGAAATACACCTGCATTTCTGTGGATTTTTTTAATATTCTGGAAGATCTTCTGAACTGGTAGATTTAAGTAGAAAGTAATACAGTAAAATTATTTCAAGAAATTAATCATTTTGAAGCAACTATTTCAGCAATTTTGGTTAAAAAATCGTTCGCAACGCACTCAAGATTAGCCTTAAATGTAAGAATTTCCACTTTATATCTGTACTTATTTTCTGTTTAATTTACATATATTTTAATAGTTCCTATTTGGCTTTGGTCCCTATTTGGTTTCTATTTAATTGAGCGCACCGTCAACTTTGTGGTTTCTATTAAAATAATGGAGGAAGTTTATTCTCCTTCTTTCGAACAGGAACGTGAAAATACAGAAGATTAGAAATAACAACTCCAGTTTTTTTTTTTTGGAAAATCTTATATATAGGAGAGGGATGCCAGTTCAAAGTTTTAGTAATCATGAAATAAAGTGAAGAGGATTAAAGCCTAATCTCCATTACAAAAAGCACAAAATAAAAAAAATTAAGCATGGAGTATTACTCCTTTGCAATGTAAGACCTAATTGAGGGAATAATAGCTCTATTTGGTTTATTAATACGTGATCTAACTCATTTATAGTTCTATCACTATAAAAAGATGTAAAGATGAAGAGTATTCCCGTATAAGTAGATCATTTTACAAACAAGAGAAAAATAATTAACTTAACATTCTTTTCTTTTCTTTTCTTTTTTCAGGTTCAAAGAGCAGAATGTTGCGATGTCCTCAGTGTAAAGGGCTCTGGGAAAGCAGATGTCCAGCTTAGAGAATGTAAGTTAGATGAGATCATAGCTTGATGACATAGAATGAGATGCAATTCTAGAGGATGTGGTTTCAGCCTTTGAGTTAAAAATTTCTAATTATTAAATCAATTAATCTCAATTATCTTGATTTTACTGCTAGTATATGGTCAAATAAATATAGTGATAATTAGGGTCAATCCCTAAGGGAATCTAGCAATTATTTCTACTTTTTAAACTTATTCTATTATCTAAACACTCAAAAAAATTAAGTAAAAGCAATACACTACTAATTATACTAAATTAAGCGAGTAATTGACAATGGTGAATTTAGGAGAAGAATTTTCTAAGGTTTACGAATCCTTTGTTGCTCAAAATTAAGAATAATCCGGTTGATTAATGCCTTAAACATGTGACTTGTCAAGGATTTCTTCCAATTTTATTCGAATAATGCTTTCGCCCTTATCCAAACATACTTGCACTGAGCCTTCACCTATTTGCATGATGAGTTAACTTGACATAAACTCATTAAGATCTATGAAGTAGTTAAATAAAATCCACCTAAATACATCTACTACTTTCGTGAACATGATCTTTAGGCTTCATGAATTTTGGTCAACACTTGCATATGCACAATAAATGATTAGATCATTCATAGTTGGTTATCAAGCCAAATATAAAGCATAGATGGATGAACTAATAAGTTCACAAGATAGCACAAATCAACCAAAAATCACTTCATATCATGATGCAAATAAATTCATTCTCACCTTAGGAGAAAATAACTTACAGAAAAATGTGCGACTGATAACAAAATGTAAATAGTAAAGGATGAAAGATTCTTATTCAAGATGATCTCCACAAGTTTCCTTTTACAATATTGCTTCAATCTATTAAGTTTACAAGCTCTTCTTCTGTCTAAACTACCTCTTTCAAGGTTTTTCAATGTCTAAGAATACTCTCCAAAAAGCTCTCTTGATCTTCCAACACAATGAATATATATAGATGTTAGAAGGACCAAAAGTCTTCATTTGAGATGGCATAAAGATTCTTCACACTTTTCTAAACTTTCTTGAGTAGCTACAACCGAAATTTTAGCTAAGAATTGAGATGTAAAAGCTATAGAAAAATAGAGCAAGTGGCTATACAAGTTGCATAACCACCTTAAGAATACGCGGGGTTATTATGTAGGAGTAAGGTTGCGTATTTCACCCGCATATTGCCTCACCTATATTTTGTTCGTCCTTTTCTGCTCCAATTAAAATGAAGAACTAAAACATAGGTTCCCCAGCATATTTAGGTCCTATTTTCTACTCAGAGAATGCACTTGTTTCTTTTGTCATCTCCAAATCATCCTTGAATAACATCAATGTTATTGTATGAATTTTTCTTGATCCAAAGTGATCATTAATCTCCAAATCCTGCAAATGTTACAAGTTTTGCACATTAAGATGCTGAAATGCAAGTTTTGGTTATAAAATGGAACAGTAGCTTAAAAGAGCAAAATTCATACTTAAGAATTTGAAAAGCAATCCAAAACTAAATAAATAAACACACTTAAAACGCGTAAATAAAATAGTTATCAAATTCCCCCATACTTGAATCATTACTTGTCATCAAGCATTAGGAAAAACCAATTAACAATGATTCAATTACTTGAAATAAATCATGTGAAGTTTTAGAATTCAATTCCTCATAACTTGGTAAATCATCGTAATGCAATCATTGAACTTTCCTTAAATACTCATAATATTAAGTAAAAGATAGACAATTATACTCTAATTTTAACAGGTTAAACTTAATTTTTTCAATTCAAAACTTTCCTCTTCCAGAATCTTCTTTTTCTTAAAATTTCAACACTAAAAGGGATGTATTCATATTTGACTTACTCAAATAGGGAAAATGGCTTTTGATGTGAAGGTCTACATTTTTAGATACGAGCCACCAGTTATTCAACACTTCACTTATTTGAATTGTTTATCTTACTATTAATTCAAGTACCTTTTGACGCAAAAGTTAGCATTTTTAGATGGCAACCTCTGGTTATTTAGTACTTAAATCATTGGAGTAGAATAACTTTTTTTTTCATATATATTTTTTTTGTAATTTTTTGATTGATCCCTCTATAAGATAAATTATAAGAAGAGGATAATTCTATTAACTATATCAATCAGTTACTTACAAGATTAAGTGAAATCGAGAAATCTCATTCAACAAGCAAAATTTTAGGCACAATTTTCCCATTTTATTTGATATACTTTCTAAAATGCAAAAATCCTAATCACACAATAACTATTTCCAAGTCAAATGAAAATTTAATTTTTCAAGTCACATATATTTAGTTAAAAAAGGGAAACTGAATGCTAATGGTTTCAACTTTTGCATTTTTGGATCAAATTGAAAATTTTTGAATGCTAATGGTTTCAACTTTTGCATTTTTGGATCAAATTGAAAATTTTTAAAAATTTTTGGGGTCATTTGCAATTTTGGACAAGATTTTGAAAACTATTTAGCAGAGTTTTTTCTTATAACTAGACGAAACTCCCTACTAACAAACCCGAATTGCAACAAATTTCAACACAAGTAATATTTGCAATACCGAATCCAAGTAATTTATGCACACAACCACATGTAGCACAAATTTAAACTCTCCTATCACACTTAAAATATACATGGTTCTCAATGTGTAGAGAAAGATAAACTAACAAATGAAAGAAATACTCTTCAAATGTCAAAGGTTGAGGTCCAGTTCAGCCATAAATCACAAATCATTAATCTACACATCTACTAGTACTGCACATAGTTCATAAGTAGTGACTTCATAAGTTCACATAACCATTAGTATTTAAAAAGAAAACTAAAAGAAGCTACAATTGTTCATGGAAGCAAGAAAGTTAGAGAAAATAAAAGGCTCGAAGGCCAAGTCAAGGTAGATCATGCCAAGCCGCCGGACTACCTCCTCCACTTGGCCTCTCGAGTTCTCTACCATCAACTTGGTCCTCAGGAATAGATTGTGGCTGAGGAATAATGCACAATCGATCCTCCACATGGTGCATCTAAATGTCAAATGTATCATGGCTAGCGTCGACCCTATCAACTCTGTAAAACCCACGATTTTTGGGCTCATTTTATCTTGCCAATTTAATTAAATGGTAATTTATTATGGGTAAAAGCAAACATAATTGCAGGTTAGGTTAAATAGGGTAAGGGGTCTAATAAATGAAAACTCTTACCCAAGCCACCTACTAATAAGTAGCGCTAGGTTTAGGATTTTATTAAAACCCTAGACAGGAAAATAACCCTAGCCTTACTTTTCTTTCGTCTACTTCCCTAGAGCAAGAGTCGTCAGAGAGGAGAGAAGGAGAAGCAGGCAACACCGTCAATTGATCCGACGACTAGGCACCTAAACCTGTAAGTCTCGAGTTCACACAAGAGAACCTCTCTTTTAAGTTTTAGTAGTTGTATCAATTGTTCTAATAATTTTATGAGCATGTATCGTTGCTATATAGGTGTAGATATGTATGTTTTGATAAGATTCGTATCTGGATTAATAGGAATAGGGGGGTTGATTTTAACCCTGATATTATAGGGTGTTTGAATTTGTTTTAAAAAAAGAAAGAAAGAAAGGGAAGAGCAGCGGCGGCTTCCACTGCTCTGTTTCGGCCAGGCGTTGCAGAGGCAACGCCACAGGAAGAATTCCAAGGGTTGGCCTTTTCGGCCAACCAATGGAAGGAATGTTGTTGCCAGACCTTGGTCAAACAAATGGTTTGTGACGACCATGGTCTAAAAGGAAATGGTTGGCCTTCTGGCCAACCATGGCTCTCACCCGAAGAGGAAAAAGGGATAATTTAGATGTTAACCAAATATAAGATAAAATAAATAAATATTTAATAAATAAATTTTG